TATATATATACTGTATATTAAAGGCAGTGGGCGGTATGCATGTATTCAAGGAGCACTAGAACTTTCTTTTTTTTCTAATTAACTTATTGCACTTTAGGAAACTAAAAGACCCCTGTGTTAGTTAAAAATAAGTAATTTAAGATATAAATTACTGGCTGATCAATCTAATGTCACAGTAAAGTCTGAACATTCAGCCAATTTTGATTTTCAACTAAAAAAATCCACGTAGTTCACGGATGGCATTGCCAAAAATATATGCATTCAGCAATAGTTTTTTTATAACTTTTTAATGTACTTAACCTGGTTATTTTTTAGGCAGTCAAATCCATCACTTTATGTGTGGTCCATGTGACACAGACTCATGTGTTCCCCATTGAATCCACAGTATCTGTTTAAGTCAAAGAATCCCTATGTTCAATCAAAAATGTCTAATTCTGTCAGCTAATTCTGATTGACAATGAGGAGAACACAGACTTTCCAATATCATAGCAAATTTTAAACTTATTTCTGTTCCATTTTGACTGTGATGACTTCGTTTCTTGGTGTTATKCAAAAACACATTTTTATAGCATTTCAACTGTACTTTGTGTTTTCTAACACTACATCACCTTAGGACAGGCACAGAACCAAAAGATAAAATTCATCAAAAAGAAACTCATTATTTATTAAAAATGTGCCACTTTTAGAGTTTTTGACATTCTAATGATCCAAACTGGAAAACATTTTAAGAAAATTGTTATTGCTGTGAGTAGTTTCACTAGCATCAGAGTTTTTTCGAGTTTCAGTTGTCCACATAACTCCTCAGACTGTGTTTTATCTGCTCCAGATATCCTCAGAGCAGATTTTTATCTTTCCTCTGAGAACAGGGACAGGTTTTCTCTCTGTGTTCTGGCCTAGATTGGTTTCTATACCGGGACCCTGTGTGCATCGAAGTGACACCGAGGCACATAAGGGCCACAGCTTCCACCTTCTTGGGAAAAAAAATAATAAATAAATAACTGAATGTGACATGGTTTGCTACATTTTTTAAAGGTGCAGAATTTGCTGGCAAAAACTGTAATGAGGTTTTTACTTTTTTTTACCATGGATACTACAGTAAATTTCCTGTTGCTGAGGCGCAATATATAGTACAACAATTGATTGAGTGCTGTTTTAAAGAAGGAAAATAGGGCAGAAAACAAGCAGAACATGAGATGTTCTGACATTCAGATGTTTGTCATTTAAAGTAAAAAAAGGAAGTTGTGTTAAAAAATCAATCACAAACTTACACCAAGATAATCCTAACAAATTCAGTCAAATACAAATTTATTTTTTTGTTCCCTGAAGGTATTTATTCTATTTATTCAGGATGTTTATGTTTGGATAAGATTCCATAATCTTTGTGATACCAGATTGTTTTTTTCTAAAAGACTTAACATTGATGTCAGTAGGACATTAAAGCAATAAGTCTGAAAGTTTTTGCTCAAAGTAAAAACCCACCGTAGTTTACTACAGATGCAGATTATTCTTTGTAATGAAAGACTTGACCCTCGGTGGTCTTGAAAGCCTTCATGCCTGTGGGGGGAGCATCAAAGTCACAAACTTTTCCCAAGGTTCTTTGTTTCATCAGACATTTACAAAATTTGCTCTTTTTTTTTCGTACAATTGAACATCAAGAGCATTGATTATGTAGTAATTAAAAGCTGTTTCTATTTATGTGGCACTGACGCCTCTGTGTCACAGATAAAAAGAAAATCAATATTCTAATGTATTTCTCCCACAAGTTAAATAACATCCTGTCAGGATGAAATTAACAACGGAATGAAATTGCAACAGCTCGTAATTACAAAGTGACAGTTTACTTACACAACAGCAACAACAAAACAAAATTTAGCTAAATTATTTTGTGTGTTTTTTAGAGCTAAAAATATGCAAGTTGCACAATGGCACTTAAGCAGCAAGGGCTTTCTTTTTAACAGAGTGTTTTGCCAAATTGTTCTATGGTTTGATATGTTTTTTGTGTGTTTTTTCCTTTGTAGATTTTTATTTTTGAGAACAATATCTACTATCGGTCTAAGGTGGAGAGCCGTTCAATTCGTCTTGTGTCTACTGGCAAAGAAGGCGTCATCTTCAACGGGCTCAGTGATTGGCTGTATGAAGGTAGTGGAAACAAACATGTCATTTTTAACCAAAGTCTAACCTTTCTGGATGGGATTTCTTCAAGCTGTGTAGGAATATCAAAACATTAAATAAGTTTATTTCTGTGTATTAAATGATATTATTCAAGGTTTAAGGATGACTGTCAAAATCTGACATCTGTCAAAGATTACAACCCAAAAATGAGTATTTTATATTCTATCCCATTATGT